GTTTTTATCACAGGTGCAAGCCGTGGCATTGGCAAAGCTATTGCATTGAAAGCAGCAAAGGATGGAGCAAATATTGTCATTGCTGCGAAGACTACCCATGCACACCCAAAACTTCCAGGCACAATCTATACTGCTGCTGAAGAAAGTGAGTATGACAAGGTCATTTCATGAAATGTCCTCCTAGTGGTTTCAATACATAGAGGATTTGCTGGAGAGTTTAATTAAAGCTATTTGAAAGCTACTCTTAAAATAATTTTATGTGGTTAGAGAAGTTAAGTATTTATTTTGTCATCTTAGAGCAGTGGCTCTGACCATTTTTCTCCTCCAGCATTTTTAAGCTGTATTAAAAAGCATGTCTTAACCAAGGTTCAGGTTTTGATCACTGTACTGGCCAGCCACCAGAAAAAAAAAAAAAAAATCACGTGTCAGGAGACTGGTGGTTCTTGGATATGAGGAGGAGATGTGGGAGTGGCAATGGAAAGAATTTGAGGGGTGTGGAAAGGAGAGAATTTGAGGGGTAGATGGTGTGAACACTTTGAGAAAGCTCCCCATGTTATTTATTCTCTGGACAATTTGCAAGCCATTATTTTAATAACTTTCACTTGACAAGTAATTATCATGTGCTTATATTCAAGGCATTGTGCTAGGCACAGTGCCAGGAGGGAGGACTTAAAAAGTCAAGATCAATTGATATGTTAGTTTTGTTACTCATGTTAATNCAGAAAAAAAAAAAAAAAATCACGTGTCAGGAGACTGGTGGTTCTTGGATATGAGGAGGAGATGTGGGAGTGGAAATGGAAAGAATTTGAGGGGTGTGGAAAGGAGAGAATTTGAGGGGTAGATGGTGTGAACACTTTGAGAAAGCTCCCCATGTTATTTATTCTCTGGACAATTTGCAAGCCATTATTTTAATAACTTTCACTTGACAAGTAATTATCATGTGCTTATATTCAAGGCATTGTGCTAGGCACAGTGCCAGGAGGGAGGACTTAAAAAGTCAAGATCAATTGATATGTTAGTTTTGTTACTCATGTTAATGTCATTGTGGTTATGTTAGAGGAATGCATATGAAATGCTTATGAGTGAAATGATGCCAGAGATTTATTTTAAAATATACCAGCAAAAACAAAATGGAAGGGAGAGATAAATTAAACAATCATTGAAGTTAGGTGATGGACTCATGAAGTTCACTATATGATTCTTTAAATTTTTTATACTTTTTGAAATTTTCCATAATAAAAAGTTTTTAAAATTACTATCCTTTTTTTGCTATTAATTATAGCAAAAATTAATAGAATTTTTAAAAAACCTTTTTTTGTTTTTTAATAGAGTTGGCTTAGCTAATCTGAAGCTGATGTGGCTAGTCAGTCTGTTCTACTGTATGGTAGAGTCACCAGGTAGTAAAACATAGTTATCTATATTGATTTCACGAAAATAGGGTACTTTTTTGACTGTTGAATCAGAATGAAAGGTATAATATTTGAATGCTTTAATGCCTTTTTGTTTATTCTTTGTAGTCGAAGCAGCTGGAGGAAAGGCCTTGCCATGTGTTGTTGATGTGAGAGATGAACAGCAAATCAGTAATGCAGTGGAGAAAGCAGTTAAGAAATTTGGAGGTAGTGCCTTCATTCTGAAAAAATATATAGAATATTGGTAAAATATAGGTGTAACTATAATTTTAATTTTTACATTTGTTTTGATTTTTTGGATTTTCTGAGTCTTGGAGTATAAGCAGAAAACAAGTATTTGCACATAGAGAAACATGGTGGGGCCAGCCAGTTAGTTCACTTGATTAGAGCATCTTGCTGATAACACCAAAGGCAACGGTTTGAATCCCTGTACTGACCAGCCACAAAAAAAGAAAGAAAGAAAGAAATATGGCTTAAGACCATCTGATGACTTTTTAAGAAATTGTTTAAAATTATTTTGAATAATGTAACAAACTTGCCACCCAAAATAAAGTTAAGACCTTGACAATAACATATATATAACCAAATGGTTCCCCAGATCTCATCTTCTTGCCTCTCCCCAGTTAACGTAAAAGTTATTGGTGACTTTCTGATACTTATTGGATAAAATGCAGTTACCTTATCGGCATTCAAGATACGTATTTCACACTCTGATCTCAACAGACTTTTTTTGGTTCCATCTTTCTTTTATACCTCTACATAAGCTCCCTTCTTCAGCCAAAATAATTTACTTCCATCTTCTTACCTTAAATTTTTTGCATCTTAACTTTTTCTCTTCCCCTTCCTGGGGCCTCATCAGTGCCCACTCTCCACCTTTGATCTTTCCTGAATGCTCCCTTCTTTGTCTTTAAAGTAGTTTGTTTATATGCTTAAATCTCATCTCTTTCAGAAGATCCTTATCTTATACTACTTTATATCTTAGTATTTCTTTTTTCTCCTCAGTGAGCTCATAAGCTCGTAGAAGGGAGGTGTTGGGGGTTGAATTAAGGCTTTGATGGTATTATAGCAGGGCACCTAGGCATGTCCAAATCCTGCCCAAACCGTTACACTCTCCCCCATAATGTTCCAGAGCACTGTATGTTACAGTTGACCCTTGAACAACATGGATTTGAACTGTACAGGTCCACTTATACACGGATTTTTCCCCATATATACTGTAAATGTATTTTCTCTTCCTCATGATTTTCTTAATATCATTTTCTCTAGTTTACATTATTGTAAGAATACAGTATATAATACAAATAACATACAAAATACGCATATGTGTTAATCAACTGTGTTATCTGGTCAACAGTAGGCTATATGTAGTTCAATGTTTGGGGAGTCAAAAGTTATACACAGATTTTCGACTGTGTTGAGGGGAGGACTGTTCAAGGTTCAACTGTATATGTGAGGGACATTGGCCAGTGGAAAACACAGTAATGCTTTAATGTTAGCGAGGCTTTGCTTATAGTCCCAATGCAGAGCGCTGTGCTGTAGTGTACTGGACTGAAGCACAGAGCTTTGGCTCAAGTGGGACCTCTTCCTTTAAATCTAAAATCTTACCCCCCTGGCTCCCAACCTTTCCCAAAGTAATGCGAATGCCCATGTGAGAAGAGGAGAGAAAATTCAAAATTATGTTTTTTCTTACTGATAGGGCCCCAAATGTGGAAGAGAAAGGAAAGGAAACTACACTGAAGTGCAGGAATTTTTATCTAAAATGACTTCACCTACTAGTCAACGTGGCTGATTAGGGCCAATTATGATTTAACTTTATAAGGAGGAATTAAAGGGAAAAAGTGGATGGGGTAGGTGGCATGAGCTTCTAATTCCCCTGTATTCATCCAGTTTTGGTTCTTTTTGCTGATCCATTGTGTCTGTCAACTAAGGGTGAGTTTATCCTCCTTGGGGAATAAGATTATCAGAATATAAAAGAGGGCTGTGAGCACCTTTGTCTAGGCCCTATCTCAATCTTTCTGTCCTATAATTCTACTAGAGAATATCAGCAGTTCAGCTGTTGCCTGATATTGTCCCAAGAAACCTCTGAAATTGGTTAAGAGAGGACATTAGTTAAAGGAAATGCTATGGTCTGATTGTCCCCTCTAAAGCTCGTGGAAGTTTGATTGCCAATATGGCAATGTTGAGGGGTGGGGTGCTTTGGGAAGTGATTGGATCATAAGGGCTATGCCCTTACGAATGGATTAATTAATTCATGGATTAATGGGTAATAGGTTAATGATGAGTGGGTTATTATGGGAAGGGCACTGGTGGTTCTATAAGGAGAGCAAGTGAGCACATTAAGACGTGCTCTTGGGCCGGCCCGGTGGCGCACTGCGCTGGTGCGCCGCTTGGGAAGCGCGGCTGCGCTCCCGCCGAGGGTTCGGATCCCAAATACAGACCGGTTCCCGCTCACTGGCTGAGCGAGGCGTGGGGACAACACCAAGGGTTGCGATCCCGTTGCCGGTCCCGGTCCGGTACGGGGGCGACACTGAGGGTTGCAATCCGTTGCCAGACATGGAAAAAGACAAAAAAAAAAAAAAAAGACGTGCTCTTGCCCTGTTACCATGTGATACCCTGTGCTGCCTTGGGACTCCGCAGAGAGTTCCCATCAAGAAAGGTCCTCACCAGGTGTAGCCCCTGGACTTTGGACTTCCCAGCTTCCAAAACCATAAGAAATAAATTTCATTTCTTTATATATTACCTAGTTTCAGGTATTCTGTTATAAGTGACAGATAACAAAGTAATAGAGGTATGCAAGGCCATACTGTACAGGCCCAGAATTCACCCTCTATTTAATTTCCCATCTTCAATTCTAGCTGTGTCATCTAACCTGGTTTACCAGAAAGAGTTACACATTATGTAATACATGATAGTGCAGCCAAATAATATATGCCTGAGAGTGTCGAAATGTAAAGCGCCTGCATTTTCCAGTATTGGGCTCCTGCAGAGAAATAGAAATCTCACAAATTAAATTCTTCTCCTGTTGTTGAACAGTGTTTACTGAGAACTTAAAGATCCAAATTGAAGTCTCACTTACTTGAAAAAATTAAATCCTAGAATTCTCTCCTCTCCAATTTTCTTATTCTACTTAGTCCCAGCCAAAGAGGGTTCACTGAGGTTCACAAGCGATCTGTATTTCTTTCCTTGCCATTGTAACTTGTCATCTTCCATTGGATGTGGTATTGTCCCTTCAGCATCTTCAGTGTTGGATTAATCCAGCTTTGCCAGTTGTGTGATCTGCTTTCCCAGGACTAGAGAGAGTGGACAGAGAACATGGTAAGGACAAAAGGAAATCTTGGATTTTGTTTCTTCAAATGCCAGTTGACCCATGTTGTTGACCTGGCATTCATGAACTGGGAACTTCAGTTCAGTGGGTAGAAATCTTTAGTTACGAGGATATGCTTCCCATATCTTTGGTGGGGGCAGATCTTCCTGTCTATTTGGCTATCTGTTGTTAAGAGGGGCATTGAAAATACTCCTATCTTGTTAAATTTACAAATTGGTAGTAGAGTTATCTCTATTTTGGCGTCTTTCCTAAGGTTTCTTTTCCTTCCTCCTTAGTATCACTTTGATTTATTTAAACATTTTGCTTTCATTTCTCCTATTAACTTCTGCTTTCCTGACACTCCAATACAGAATTGAGTGAGCTCTGTTCAGCGATTCAGCTTCTACTGTCTCCTAATCAGGGTGGACACCACATTCATAAGAGATGATTCCTAGCCTTTCTCTTTTTTTATTGTTTTTTTTTTTTTTTTCCTTTTTGTCTTTTTTCGTGACCGGCAACGGATCGCAACCCTCAGTGTTGCGCCCGTACCGGACCAGGACCGGCAACGGAATCGCAACCCTCGGTGTCGCGCCTGCACCTTGCTCAGCCAGTGAGCGGCCGGTCTGTATGTGGGATCCGAACCCTCGGCGGGAGCGCTGCCGCGCTCCCAAGCGGCACACTGTAGCAGTGCGCCACCGGGCCGGCCCTTTATTGTTGTTTTCTGTATTCTTTTTCCACAGAGATCCAAGCCTTTGTTTTTTGTTCATTAGGTTTTACACTGTGGTTGCTACTGCTATGGCCTTCTGATTTGGAATTCTGTAGGCCTTTGAATTCTGTTTTTTGTGGAAGACTTTACCTTTTGTCCTGATATTTGCCTCTGCTGGAGAATTGTCTTGAACAAAGTCCTGAGCAGTTGATGATGCTTTCAAACCTGTACCCGCAGAGTTCTCTGCCCCGTGATACTTCCTATTGCCTCGCCTTCTCTCACCTTCAGTTTTTCAGGCCTTGAGTAAATTATGCTATTTCATAAACCACAGAAGCATTCTTTCCAACCACCTTTTTTGTTTTTGTCTGCAGCAGGCACACATGCTTTTGTGTGTCATTCCCCACTATTGTTCTCTGATCTGTTTTCTTTTTTCATTTCTTTTTTTCCCGCAGCTGGCCAGTACAGGCATCTGAACCCTTAATGCTGGTGTTATATAACATGGCACTCTTTCCACCTGAGCTAACCAGCCAGCCCTGATCCATTTTAATCTGGCCAATCTGAGTTTAGAAATTTTAACCTGCTTTTTAAATTGGATCTTTTTTTTTCTCTATCATGGCTAATTCAAATACAATTTGCCAAATCAGTATATATTCATTCCTCATCTGAATACTTTGTTTCCAGGCCCAGATGTTTGTTTTGCTAACATACTTGTCATCCCATAGTGAGAGAGATGAAGTCAATAAAGTCTGGATTTGCCCAAGGCGTCCACTGATTGGAATAACCCTTACTAGCTTCATTTGCTACCCTACTGTGTATGGTAATTCTGCACAAGTGGTGTATATACCCGTAAGTCGAGCATCTCATCAGACCTACACTCAATTTGCTCTGCTCCCACCTGGCCTCTTCTTTAGTGACTACTATCTTTTTTGTCTCTTAGGTCGTAGCAGTGTGCCTTGTGCAGAGTAGCCACTCAGTGATTATGTCATAGTGATGAGGTTGAGCAACTCCTAGCTTTGTGAATACACTCTCCCAAGCGAGCCACAGGCTGGCCCTTCAGAGAACTCACTTTATTTTAAACAGATTTGAACCAAATTAGCAGTACAGTTTAAAATTTAGTCAATCCTTATAAAGACCTAAGAGTGCTCCAAAGTCAGCAGGTAGAATTTTAAATAGTTTTAGTCAGTGCTCCTTTTTCTC